TTCCCCCCCCCCCCCCACGGTGCTGCGGGCGCTGCGCTACGTGGACGCGGGGGGCGCGGTGCAGCTGGCCGGGCGCGTGGCCTGCGAGATCAGTAACCACGAGCTGCTGCTGACGGAGCTGGTGTTCGACAACCTGCTGACGGAGCTGCGGCCGGAGGAGAGCGTGGCCCTGCTCAGCTGCCTGGTCTGCCAGACCAAGAGCCAGGCCGAGCCCCCGGTGCCCAGCGTCCTCCGCAAGGTGAGCCCGGCCGCCGGGGTTCTCTGCCCAGCTCGGGGGGGGGCAGGACGCCTGGGTTCTCTGCCTGACTCGGGGGGGTGGGGGCTAGGACGCCTGGGTTCTATCCTGGGGCTTAGGGGAGGGAGAGTCTCTAGTGAGGGGGGAGGAAGGCGGGGGCTGGGAGCCCGGACTCCTGGGTTCTGTGCCCAGGGCGGGCAGCCGGGCCCCTCACCGCCGGCTCTCTGCGGCAGGGCATGGAGCGGATCCGGGCAGTGGCCGAGCGCATCGCCCTGCTGCAGCGGGAGTGCGGCCTGCGGGAGTCGGTGGAGGATTTCGTGGCCCAGTACAACTTCGGCCTGGTGGAGGTGGTGTACGAGTGGGCCCGCGGCATGGTGAGTGGCCAGCCCCCTGGGGGGGAACCCCGCGTCCCTCGCCCCCCAGACAGGAGCGGAACCCCAGCCGGGCCCCTACCCCCGGATGGGAGGGGAACCATGGCCCCCGTGTCCCATGCCCCACAGCCAGCCAGGACACCGGACGGGAGGGGAACTCCAGGCCCTGTGTTCCATGCCCCCCTAGCCAGCCCCCCACTTTCACATGGGAGTGGAAGCCCAGGCCCCGAGTCCCATACCCCCCAGCCAGGCCCCTGTCCCCGGACGGGAGGGGAACCCCAGGCCCTGTGTCCCATGCCCCCCTAGCCAGCCCCCCACTTTCACATGGGAGTGGAAGCCCAGGCCCCGAGTCCCATACCCCCCATCCAGGCCCCTGTCCCCGGACGGGAGGGGAACCCCAGGCCCCGAGTCCCATACCCCCCAGCCAGGCCCCTGTCCCCGGACGGGAGGGGAAATCCACGTCCCGCGACCCACGCCCCTCTCCCCCAGCCCTTCGCCGAGATTGCCCGGCTGACGGAGGTGCAGGAGGGGATCATCGTGCGCTGTATCCAGCGGCTGGACGAGACGTGCCGGGACGTGCGCAACGCGGCCCGCGTCATCGGGGAGCCCACGCTGCACGCCAAGATGGAGCAGGCCTCCAACCTCATCAAGAGAGACATCGTCTTTGCCGCCAGCCTCTACACGCAGTGACCCCGCCATGACCTGCCACCTTTAACCTCTGTGAGGTCAGCGTCCCCTGCCCTCTGACCCATCACCCCCCGGGCAAGGCGAGAGCACGTGGACTGTAACTGGATCATGCTGACATTTCACCCCACTGTGTGATATGGGGGGGGGGGGCGCATGGGGGTCAGCCTCTGCCCTGTGACCTTTAACCTCCCCTGGGGTGGAAGGCTGTGACCTTTCACCTCTAGCCATGGAATCTGGCCTCTGCCCTTTCACCCCAGCTGATAGGTTGGGGGGCCTAGCTTTGACCTTTCACCCCATGGCAGCTGGAGGTTAGAGTCTGACCTTTGCCCTGCAGCTCAGGGGTCAGTGGGTGGCAGCAGCCCTGACCCCCTCCCCCCAGCTCCCCTACTACTGGCTGACAGCGGGGCGGGGGGGAGGGGTGGAAGGTGAGGGATTGTGGGGGGGAGACGAGGGCTCCGGTGCCCCCCCAGGGGCCTCTGTGTCCAACCTGTTAATAAATCTGTCTCCAGCCACTGCCTTGTGGGGGTTTGATTGGGGAGTGGGTGACCCCTCCCCGCTGCAGGGCTGAGCTATGGGGGGGAGGGGGGATGTGGGGCAGCTTCCCTGTTGGGGTCTGTGCCCCCCATGCCCCAGCCTCACATCCCAACTGCTCCTGTGGGGCATTCAGGGGAGGGCCCTGTACTGAGAGCGTCTGACCCCTTCTAGGCCCCACCCCCTCCCAGAGCCAGCAGGAGTCCGGTGCCCACCAGTTTGGTGCGCACACACACACACACCCCTCTCCCTTCCCCCCCCCCCAGCGCAGGTGGGCTGGTCCATGCCCCTCCTTCCCCCCCCCACCCAGTGCAGGTGGGCTGGTCCAAGTGTGACTCCACCTCCACTTCTGTCAGTAACTGGTTCAGTCCATGAATACCCCACAAGGGGGGAGCAGAGGTCCCTTAGCAATGGAATGTCCCATTGTGAGAGGTGAGCAGAATGCTCACGTGACCATCGAAGGAGGAGTAGCTTTGAGGTGGACTGTTCCATTACAGCTGGGGGGGGGGGCCATCTCCAGTCCCCCTGTTGGCTGATTCCAGCTGCTCACAGGGCCCAGGGACCTGCACAGCCAGGCCGGAGGGTTCTCCCTGCTGGGCCCCTCCTGCCCCTCCCAGGGGGTCACTCCCTTCCCCAGGGGCGGGGCTCTCCCAGAGGAGGGTGGAGCCTGTAGCTCCACCCCCAGTAACCTCTGACCCCAAGGAGCAGCTTCAGCCTTTAACTGGGTTGCCAAGGTCAAAGGTCAGGCTGTGCGAGCAGGTGCCCACAAGTGGGGGGCCCCCCTGGGCCCCTGCCAGCTTGTGACCTAAAGGGGGGCAGGTTCCATCTCTTACCCCCCCCCCGACCTCCCTAGGTGCCCCATGGGGCAAAGGTCACACACACCCCCTTCACCTTTCAGCTGGGGGTCATGACCTTTTCCTGCTGCTCATAGGCAGCCAATCCTGCCCTTTACCCGTGTCACTCACAGGTCACAGCCTGACCTTTCACCCTTTCTCCAGAGGGGGTCATGACCTTTATCCCCTCACACACATGCCCCCGGAAAAAGGGACATGGCAGTCTTGCGGCCCTGACCCTTACACATGGTTTATTGGTGCCCCCCCCGCGGCCCCCAGCAGCTCAATCCGGCCTCTTTCCTCCGCTGATGGTCTCCACGTACCAGGCCGGCAGGAAGACGTGCTCCGCGTCCCGGTGCCGGGTGTAGGACACGGGGCTGCCGGGCTCCCAGGCGAAGAGGTGCACAAGTCTGGGGAGAGAAGGTTGGGGGGTGATAGCAGGGGGGGGCCTGGGTTCTCTCCACGGCTGTGGGAGGCGAGTGGGGACTGGTGGTTTAGAGCGGGGGGGCTGGGAGCCAGGACTCCTGGGTTCTCTCCCCAGCTCTAGGAACGGAGTGGGGTCTAGTGCAGGGGTTCTCAACCTTTTTCTTTGAGTGCCTCCCCTCCCCCGCTATAAAACTCCACGTTCTCCCCCCCCTCCCCTGCCACAACCCCTGAAACCTGCTTCGTGCCCCCCCCCCCCGGTTGAGAACCCCAAGTCTAGGGGTAGGGGGGAGCACAGAGAGGCTGGGAGTCTCTTCTACTCACTGTGGATCATCCTCCGTCACCACCCTCTTGAGGAAGGCCAGGAAGGCCTCGCAGAAGTTCATGCACACGGCCGGCTTCCAGCAGCCCCGGTCGCCCTGTTTGGGGGGCAGGGACCAGCTTGAAATCACTGATTGGGGGGGCGCGAGGGGAAAGTGGGGCAGGGAAGGAACAAGGGGCTGGAGCGAGGGTCTAGGGCAGGAGGGAGAGGCAGGGCTGGCCTGACACATGGGGTTGGAGGGACCCATGGGGGTAGAGAAGTCAGAGGGATCGCAGGGGCCGAGGGGCCCAGTGACGGGGGATGGGGGACCTACACCAGTTGGAGGGGAAGTGGGGGCCTGGAGCTCATGGGGGGGGCAGGGCTGGCCGGGGGGCAGCTCCCCCCACTCACCCGGATCAGCTGGAAGATCTTCATGGTCTCGAAGGTCTCCAGCGCAGCCACGGAGCCGTCGGGGGCGCGGAAACCGGCCACGATGCGGGAGACCCCGGGCAGGAAGGACTGCGCCCACCACTTGATCAGCTTGTGCCTGGGGGGGAGGGAGGGGGGTCAGCCTAGGTCCCTTGCACACCCCCCAGCCTCTGCTCCACCCCCCACCCACGCAGGAAATGCAGGGTGGAGACCCCCAGCCGGCCTGGCCACTCAGGGAATGTACATCCAGGACGGCCCTAGGCTGGGGGGTTCCTTGGGGCGTAGCTGGGGGGCCGGGCCACAGGGGGGCTCTCACCTGTAAAAGCTCTTGCGCTGAGCGGGGCTGTGCAGCTCCTTGCATGTCTTGAGCTCCACGTAGCAGGCGGGGGCCTCGGGCCAGGCCCCGCGGGGATCCGTGCAGTCCACCTCCCCGGCGAAGAGCAGCGAGTGGGAGCCCAGCCGCGTCCGCACCACCGTGCAGAACGCCTCGTTCGTGTTCACCACCCCCGTGGGGTCCGGGCTCCCGTCCGGGGTGTCTGGGGGGGACAGACAGCACAGGATGTCTGGGTTCTCTCACCAGCTCTGGGAGGGGAGGGGGAGCGAGAACGTCTGGGTTCTCTCCCCAGGGCGGAGAGGGGAGGAGGACTAGTGGTGAGAGTGGGGGGGAGTTGGGTGCCTGGGTTCTTTCCCAGCTCTGGGAGGGGAGTGGAAGCTGGGAACCAGGACGCCTGGGTTCTATTTACCCGCACACATGTAGCGCTCGAACTTGTAGCCCATGTAGGCCAGCTCCTGTAGCATGTCGGAGCGCTGCTCCCGCTGCTGCCGGGCCGCCGCCGTCTCCACCTCACTCACGTAGAGGGTGCCCCGGAAGAGGCTGACGGCCAGCAGCCAGCCCTCCTGGCTCTCGTAGGGCGTCGTCAGCACCTTGGTAAGGTGCCCCCGCCAGGTCACGAAATCTGCGTTCACGGGGCGCCTGGGGGGGGACAAGGGGATGGCATTGCCATACACAACATCGGTAGGTTTCAGAGTTAACAGTTCTCCGTGAGTGAACGGGGCCATCTGAGCCCTATGGTGTCAGGCTGTCGGCAGACTCAGGTATCCAGACCTGCACCCCCAGAGCCTGTGTGCTGTGTCTACCCCTCCCCCAGCCGCACCAGAACCGTGGGGCAGCCCATCCCAGTATGTGCAGGAAAGTGGGGGGTGTCTCAGGTCCCCTACCTGGCCCCCGGCCCCCATCTCCCTCCACTCATGCACTGGCTTCCCAGCGACCCCTCCTGCCTGGCAGGACCCCATTAAGCCACAGCCCCCCCTGCTGGCCCTACCCATAACCCAAGGTGCCCCTAGGTCAGGGCAGGAGTCCCACCGCACCCCTTGCCAGCCTGGAGGACCCCACTCACTCCACAGCCCCCCCAGATCAGCAGTGGCCACCTGCTATTCCCCCTGGAGGACTCACCCCCGAGGTCAGCGGGGAGCCCCCCAGCGCCCCCTGCTGGCCAGGGGCTCTTGGACTGCCCCTCGCTCACCCCGCGGCGTCGCCCTGGGCCCGCAGCCGGTCCCGGTTCCCGGCCACCCACTGCAGGAGGTGCTCCAGCCCCTCGCGCCGGCTCTCGTCCCGCCGCACGTAGCGGTCGCGGTAGCCGTGCCGCAGGTCGAAGGCGGGATCCGGGTGCTCGGCGGGGGGCGGGGCGAAGTAGCGCAGCTGGCGGGCGTCGGGGTGGTAGCGGCGCTGGGCGTCCAGGGAGAAGCGCCCCTCCTCGGCCGGCCGGCGGTAGAAGGGGAAGGGCCCGTCGTAGAGGGACGGCTCCGTGGGCAGGGTGGGGGGGGCCCAGCGGCCGCGCTTGGGGGACTCCCCCGGCTCCGCGGGGGCCTCGGCGGTTCCGCTGCTGCGCTTGGCCGGGCGGGCGCTGGGCTCCATGGCGGCCTGGAACGGCGAGAGGGAGGTGAGAACGGGGAGCTCGGCTGAGATACCCCCTGCTCCCAATGGGGGACCCCTCCCCTGCCAGCCCCTGGGGGGCATTTCCCCTGTGGGCCCCGCCCCACCCCCAGCAGCTCCCTGGGACCCCCCAATCCCCCCCCAGCCCTGGCAGCCTCCCCCAGACCCTCCAATCCCCCCCCAGCAGCTCCCCTCCCCCCGGGACCCTCCAATCCCCCCCCAGCCCTGGCAGCCTCCCCCGGACCCTCCAATCCCCCCCCCAGCAGCTCCC